AAATAAACACAGAGACAAGATCCTGCACTTACTGTTTCTCCACTTCCCTCCAGCATGACGCTGCACCCCAGAAAAGGGGAAGCGCTGGAATTTGGGACCTCCCGTTCACCTGTTTGCCCCTTTTATTTCAGTCTTTTGGCATGAGAGGGCGCACGGTTTCAGCATTGAACATGATGGAATGTGTCAATGGACCATAACCAAGCCCCTGCTTGTCACCCTGACCCATAAGGTGGGAGCGAGTCTCACTCACCGGCCCGAGCATGGAAACAGGCTTTGGGCCAGTACATGAGTAGCGTATGGAATTCCCTGCACACAGAGATCACGCCAATACAGCAGCTGGGGGTTCACAAGGGTTGACTTTGATGGCCAAAAACATTTGTGGCTATGCATTACAAGAAGGGCAAACCAGTCTCCGGTGTCAGGACCCAGGCCTGCACACGTCCAAGGGAATAGAGCTCGAGGGGGTGCTTGTCCTCTGAAATGCCCCAGAACAGCACTGCCCACTCCATCCCCACAAACCCTGGCCAGAGAGTCCCCGAGAACTTGGCTGTATGGACAGCGCACAGCCAGCTGGTGTGTAAGTCTTCAGCGCACTAACTGGCCTCGTGGCCCTGGCTGCTGTGCTGTGAGGGTAGCTGATCAGTTCCTTCCTGCCAGAGCCACCAAGGTAGCTGCAAGCTGGCATGACTGTTGCTTGTCAGCGGATTCCTTGAGGAGATGGGCTTGGGTATACGATGATGTGGCCTATCAGCCCCTCTCTCAAGTGCCAGCTTGTGCTCCAGAATCTCAGCTTGCCTTAAGAAATTCTGAGACAACCTGAGAAACATGAACCATGCGTGAGCGATGCCTTCCTGAGTCTGCACGGAACCTGAAACAAGTGCTCTGCTGTGCGAATTGCCCCACTCATCTCAGGCAGAAGTTAACTCAGATGCCCAGAGCCGATGGTTTCCCTGTCCATGTTAACAGCGATTTAACTGCTTGTGTAAGAAGGGCGCAAGAGGTCACAGAGCTGCACAGGTCACTGAGCGGCTCAGCACATTTTGGTGCTGCAAGTCACTGACATAAGGCAGCTTCAGACCAATGTGAAAGCATCAACTCGTCCCAGCACTAGGTCCCTGGCGCTGCACAGGGCCAGCTGTGGGCTGCAGTCCTAGCAGCAGAGGGGCCTTTGGAGGGGCACGTGCCCTGCTCCAGAGAGTCACCCCACAGCAGGGGCTGAGGATGAGCTTTGACTCGGTCTCCGGTGCCAAAGGGCCTGTCTGGTCTTGTCTAATTTGGAAGGAGAGTTCACAAGTCCAACAATGAATCATTTCAGACTCTGTTCTCCTCTCTCACGCCGGGCAGAGTGCTAGGGAGTGGATGGAGCAGTGCTGTGGTTCTAGGCAGTGGGTCAGCCTGACCACTCGGCCCCCGACACTGTGCAGAGCATGGGCTGGGTGAAACTAAGCATCTTGCCGGGGGTTCACTCGGACTGCAATGCCACAGCTGGGAATTGGTGGTGTGGGGTGTGTGTGTGTGTTCCTCCCCCTTCTCTCTCCTACAAACATTTCCACAATCAGCACCAGACCCCGAACCACAGCAAACACCAGCAGTTTGACAGCTTTCAATGCGTTAAACACCAAGGTCCCTCCAGTCCAAGAGAGGCAAAACCCCAAGCCACCCACCCAGGCCCCACATGGCCAAAGTGACCTGCCAGGGACCTCCTCCTTACCCAGGGGCCTGCAGCAGGGCCGTGTGGCATGGCAGGGCCCCCACCCCAGAGGGCAGCCAAGGTGGCAGTACAACCCACGGACCATTTGGGACATTGGCCTTCTGAGCCAGACAGACTAGGGCCAGCCCTCTGAGCCAGCTCCTGGCTGCGCCTCACCAGGGCTGGACGCTGACAATCAATTCACTGGGACCCCAGCGCTTTTGACACAGGCCAGCAGAGGAAGCCAGTTCTGGAGTGTGGCCTGTTGCCTACGTTTTGTCCCCGGGGAGCATCGAACCCCAACTGCTGGGGCTATCCAGGTCTCGCGGCCTGGCCGGGGCGCTGAGCACCCACAGCTCCCATGTCGGCTGGAGCTCATGCCAGCACACCCTGGCCGCGAGATGCGAACACTTAAGGGCATGAACACAGCTGAAACAAACCCATGTGACATCAGGACAGGCGAGGTGTGAGCAGCGTTTGCCCAGGAGGCAGCCGGGAAGGGGCTGAGCAGTCGTCGACTGAGTAACCCGCTGCAAAGCAAGCGGCCCCTCTGCTGCCCCAGGAGCTGGCTAACAGTCGGGGTTTGAGCCGGAAGGGGCCCCTGTATAACGCAGGCCTCCAGCGCCACCCAGCCCCTGCACCCTGAACCAACCACCGAGACGAGCCCGAGAAGACTGAACGCTCGTGCCACAGGCAGGAGAGGGGGAACCGCGGGCACCAGAGCCCGATGCCCCTGCAAGGGCAGGGGCCTGATGAAGTGAGCTATGCCCAGCTGAGCTGCAGGGGACCCACAGCACATGCTACAGAGGAACGCTTTGCTGTGAGGGCTGCTCGCTGAACGTACCCTCCCCACACAGCAGTTACCCAGCGGCTGCCAAGCCCCCTGGCGGGGTGAAGCACCTTGCTAGTGGTAGCAAGGTTTCTGCATGCCCCTCCTTGAACTTCCCACCCCCAGCCCCGACGAGCGTGACACCAGCTCCCCCAGCCCGTGGATGCTGCTTGTGCTCCAACAGGGAGCGTCTGTTTGCCCGGACGGCAACTGCAGCTGTTTTCGCCCAGTGCGTGAGCTGCCTCAGCCTGGCCCTCACCTCAGGGCTGCGTGCTCGGGGGGGGGGGGGTGTCTCGCGCAGCCTGGGTGCAGAGGACCTTTACAACTGCTGCCGTGTCTCAGTGCTTCACAGACACAGGGCTGCTTGCCCCGGCTGAGCATTCGGCGCTCCTGCTCCTCTCCATCGCAGACGGCTGTCTCAAACCCTGTCCTGGAGACGTTCACAGGGAGCTGGTGCTGCGGGGTCCCTGCTCCACACCAGCACTGCGCACAAAGCCCTTGGTCTCTGCACACGGCCTCTCCACAGTAACGCTCCTGCCCGCCCGCCGCAGCGTTGGGGCTTTTCAGCTCCTTTATTTCTCCTTCATGGCAGATGCGCTCTTTGGGCTGAACCCGATGCGGGCCCCAAGTCAGCGTCCTTCCACTGCCCTGCCAGGGCCTGGGGTTAGTTTCCCCAGAGAACGGCTGCAGAGAGGGGCACGTGAAGTGCTGGGGCTTCCCTGGGCCACTTTTTCACCCCAGGCTGAGAGACTCTTTCAGGCTCCCGCAGGATCAATGTTACCGGGCTGTTCTCAAGAGCCTTCCAGCCGAGGGTCTGCACTCTGCCCCATGGCCTGCTCCTGCCAGAGACCCAGCTCTCCCCCATCCCGACTCTGCAGCTTGGCTCTTCAGTCAGTGAGTGCTTCATCTCCTCACCCCCCACTTGCACACTGGGGAGCCCCAGGCTCTGCCCCCTTTCCCTCCCCTAGCTGTCCCCCCATTGTTAGCCTGCACATTAATGATATTTTCATGACTGTTTTAGACCCTCTCTGGGAGCCATGAGGGACGAAAGTGCATTACATCATCCCCCTTGCCTCCCAGTAAATCAGGCACTGGGCTGTGCGTATCCATGACCCATTCATGACAGGGATAAAATCCAGATGTTCCAGCCCTACGTGCAGCTGGGTCATTTCCTTTTTTGGCTAAGAACGGGAGGCTCTTAAACCCGACTGAAAGAGGAGCCTGGGGGCCCGTTTGTAAAGAAATGGTTTGCGGTTAATCGCTGGAAACGGCTCTTCAGAAACCATGGGCTTGCAGAGCTCCTGTCAGAGGACAGGCTCCCTCAGGAAACCTCTACAGCCAGAGGCGCCTGCTCATTGTTTGAGGCCTAGCAGAAAAACCAGAGCTCAGGTCCCGACACAACGACAGCAACAGAATCAGAATGGAAAGAATAGTTTTGCCGACCGCCAGAGCTAATGTTTGTAGGATCCTCCAAGCGAGGCAGGCCTGCGAGTGCACAGAGCCAGCACTGAGGTCACAGAGAGACTTGGGGGCTGTGTCTTTTAGCCCTGGCTCCCCCTCGCGTAGCAATCTGGAGAACTGGAAGCACGCTCCAGGGGGAAGTGGAGGGGATGTTGGAGCGGCCGGGGGCCAGGCAAAGGCCCAGAGGAAGTTGCAATGGCTGTTAGTAAATGTAAAGGAATCTGTGGAAAAGAGTTTCAGATGTTAGGGGAATAAATGATTCCACAGCAGATAAAAGTGAGTAATGAGCGTACAAGGCGGATGGGAAGGCTGCCAGGAAGGAGACCAAAGTTACTCCAGCTGGGGACTGCAGCAACATCCCCACACAGGCTCTTTCCAAGAGACCTCAAGAGCTGAAGCTGAGGTCAAATGGAGCGAACACAGGGAAGCACAAGGGGCTTTTCTGTAATGAGGAAACACTTAATTCGGTGTCATAAGAGTCACATGCCAGTGACTCAAATGCCAGTTCCTGCCAGCCCGGGATCCACTGGACTGCTGGGTCCAGAGGAGCTGAACCAGTCCAGGATCTACTAAAGTAACCAGCCCACAGAAGACCTTCCTGGGGTGAGAGTGGTGACCACTAAACTCCTGCCCCCTGGCTTGAAGCCTTCACTTTGCCCCATGTACCCAGGAAGGGTCCAAGCACTTTGTCTGGGTAGTTGAACAACATGCAAAGACTGAAGTCAGAGATGATGGATCTAGGGAGAGGGTCTCCACTGCATCCCCGAAAAGCCGGGAGTGGGGGAAATTGAAACTGGTCTAGGCAGGGATTGTGGTATCATCCTAGAGTTAAAGGCTGGGCAGGCTGCTGCGGGAGGGGGAACCATGGGGCTGCCCCCAGTTCAGGGCTTTGGGAGCAACCCTAGGGAGAGTAAAGAGCTATTTTACCTTTTGAAGACAAGCCTGACCCCACAGCAATGACATTAATTCAACCCCACCCTACTCCCACCCCTGCTTGGAGAAAATACAGCCAGAGAGAGGTGTCAGTACAATGGTTTATTATATAAAGCCTTACAGAAACATACAAGAGACTGGAGGGTAGGACACTTACATAGGAAGCTTCCTTTCTAAAAACCGCTCCAAACTCTTCAGAAAAGCGCACACACCCAAACTCTGACTTACCCGCATCAAAGCTTTCAAACGAGGGTTTCAGTAAAGATTTGAATACACAGCTAATAACGATTCAACATGCATAACATTCTCTTGGTAAATGAACCCTGCTTGGGGACGGGGCTAGCCCGTTCCTCTAGCGGGTTTGGTTACTGAGTGACAGATAAAGTACAAAAAGGAAAACACAAGGAAGTCATATTCAGAAAAGCATCCCATTACCTGGGCGGAGGGGGGCAGGGCGTGAGCACCCCAAGTGAGACAGGGCTCCAGGGGAACTCGAGGCAGCTCCGCAGTTTTGCATAGCCAGATCTTCAGAGAAGCAAAGCTCTTCCAACTGGGACACCAGCCTCCCTCCGGGGAGCCAATGTCACACCCCTTTTCAGTTCCTCTCTGTAGAGCCTTACCAGATTAGTGGCCGTGAAAAACGTGTCATAGACCATGAGATGTGGTCTCTTGCGTGTGCGCTTTTACCCGGTACTATACAGCTTTCACAGGGGAGACCAGGGTTTCTCAAGTGGGGGGTCCTGGCCCGAAAGGGAGCTGCAGGGCGGTCGCAAGGTTATTTTATGGGGGTCGCGGTATTGCCACCCTTATGTCTGCGCTGCTGCCTTCGGAGCTGGGCAGCGGGAGAGCGGTGGCTGTTGGCCGGGAGCCCAGCTCCGAAGGCAGAGCCCCCTCCTGCAGCAGCATGGAAGTAGGGGTGGCAATACTGCAAACCCCACTACTGTAACCTTGAGACCACCCCCCACGACTTCTTTTCGGATCAAGACCCCTACAATTACAGCACCCGGAAATTTCAGATTTAAATGGCTGAAACATGAAATTTACGATTTTTAAAATCCTATGACCATGAAATTGACAAAAATGGACTGTGACTTTGGTAGGGCCCTACCTCTCTGGGCATGAGAAGCCCAGACTGGGGGTGAGGGTCAGCAGGCTGAGCCAGGGCCCAACCAGCACCTGACCTGCAAGGTGCTGAGCAACCACGGCTCCCCCTGCAGCCAATAAGCATGACGAGAGCTCAGCACCTGGCGGGAGGGGGGCAAAGGAGGGGCAGAGCCTTTGGCTGCTGTCTGGGGGGCTGATTCAATTTATCTGCAGCCTTGCCTGTTGTTAATACAAACACAGCCCCCATTCGTCCCCCACTCCCATCCATCTCCCCCTGCAGCACCCAGGGCTGAATTCGGAGCACAGCCTGCAGCCGAGACAACTGTGCACAAACTTCCAGAGGATGAACAACCATATTTGGGGTCAATATATATAGCGTGCGGCCGCGCTCAGTAAGAGCCAACAAGCGGCCCTGGTTCTGCAGCAGCCAGTAAGGGGGAAAGTGCAGACAACACCATCAGCTCTAATAGCTCCCGCTGCCTCTGAAATGCCCTTTTCAACTGCTCTGCTAAGCGGCTCTCAGGCAGAAGGAAGAGCGTTTGGCTACCAGCCGGGCAGCACTTGCGCACAGAGCACAAAACTAGCTCCGAAAGCACCTGAGCCGCTTCACAGCACTCTTGGAGTCGGTGTTAAATAAACTAATTCGTGCCGCTCTTGGAAGCTGATGGGGACCCTTCTGCTAGGGGGCAGAGCAGGGAGAGGGGAGATGCTGCAGGGAGGTGAAGGAGCCAGAACCCTCAGCACCTCCTGGTGATTCAGGTTCCTCTGCCATATTTGTGACATCTCCCTGAAGAGTGAGGAGCAAGGGGGGAGAGAGACGTCAGGAAAAGCCATTCCCCGAAGTGGGCCGTGTGCTCACTCCAGCACGCTCTGCTCACAGCCAGCCAGGTCCCTGGCCACCCAGAAACACCCCAGGCTGCCACGAGCAGCACAGAGAGCGTTGCAGACTCGCTCAGTGAGACGCCATGCTACCCTCACGCTAGGGGAGCAGGCGGTGCTGCAAACCCATGCTGGGGAGGCAGGAGCCTCAGGAAAGCCTGGCTCACAGGACAGGAGCTGCTGCCCATCACTCAGAGCAGAGGGAGCACATGGGGGAAGGGAAGAAAACCAGTAACAAGTAGGAAGGACAAAGCTGTGCGGTCAGCACATGGAGCCGAAGACCCACTGCCCAGCCCCTTTGCTCAGACAGGGGCTCCCGGCTCAGCCAGCGCCCAAGCGCATAGGAAGCAAAGGAAAGAGCAAATAATGAGGGACTTAGAAGCTCCTTTTGTTCGGCTTTTATTTAGCTTCACTCTGCAGAAAGCCTAGGGTGGCTTATTCTAGCCTTCAGGGGAAGGGCACAGGCACCCCAAGCATACGCTGTGGTGAGGGGATCAGCCCTCTCCAGGGCAACAAAAGGCACATCTCCCACCTGCCCAGCACCGACAGCTGCCAGGGTGTCTCGTACGAAGCCCCTGAAGAGCAGATAAAGCCCCTGATCCACGTCCTCTTGCCAGGCTTATAGGTCGCTGCTGCATTCGCGGCAGAGGATCTCGTCGTGGTGCGGGATGAAGCCTTTCCCCACCAGCGAGCTGGCGCAGCGGGCGCAGTTGAAGCAGTTATGGTGCCAGTGACGATCCTCAAAGGAGATATATTTACCCCCTCCGAAGCCTAGAGAAGGGGGACAGAGCATAGAGTTACCCGGAGCACTCAAGGCAGATTCCTGAAGGGCCTAGGGTCGGCAGACAGCCAGTTAGGGGTCTGTGCACAACACTGAATGACTAAACCTCTTTGGGAAGGACCTGACTGGAGCCAGCCGGCTGAGAGAAGCTGCGTTCTGCCCCTTGTCCAGAAGGCAGGACGACGTGCAGGTTTTGTAGGTGCTATTGCAGAGACAGTAATAAGGATAAACACTGGTGACCTGGGGCGGGGCAGCAAACCAGCATCGTCTCTAACCACGGAACCAGTGTTCTGACTCACCGAGTGACTCAGTGGCCGCGTTGGCCTTTCCAGGAGCAGTAAACCCAAGCCACGGAGGGAGGGTCAGTGAAGGAGACCAGGCAGCCTCCTGGTGCAGGTGGATGAAGGGAGAGACCCACTCGCCTCACTTTGGCGAGTGTAAAAGGTCCAGTTTCTGGAGCCTCCCAGCCCAGCCCTGGGCTGCAAAACCTCCTCACTTTAGAGCGGTGGAGAACCCTTCCAGGATCCCAAAGAGAGAGGCCAGTCACAGCCATCAGATCCCACCACATGGAGCATGTCCTGGGAGTTCTGGCAAGTTCTGCAGGAAGGCTGCAGGGTACCAAAACACAGACAGTCCTCCCTGGGTGTGCACAGTACATTCACTGCTCTGACAAGAGCAGGACACACCCAACACTTGAGCTTTGCAAGAACGAAGTGAGAGCAAGAGTACGAGCCACACAAACTCCTCACTGCAGTGTAACCCCTTCCCCATTGTGTGGCCTCTCTCTGTGAGCAGCTGAAACAGGCTGCTGAGGAACAAGTCCAGGAGCAGCCCGTCACGTGCCCCAGGGCAACCTTGGCAATAACATTCTCCCATCCTGGGAGGCCTGAGGTTCTGACCAGCCCCTCAGTGAGCCCTGGAGGGCGGCAGTGGGATGCAAGAGCGGCGTGGGCCTTACGCTGGCCTGCTGCAGAGGGGAATTCACCACCACCACGGTCTGCGTTGTGCTCACGGGCCAAGGCACCGTGCCACTCACGAGGGACCATGTGCTGCGCTCCAGGCTCCATGGTTACCTGTGATGGGCTTTGCACAGGCGCTGCACTTCTTGGCATAGAGGTTCCCAAAGCACTTGACACAGTAGGGGTTGTCCTCCTGGGAGGTGAACTGCTGGCCTGCCAGAGGAACCTTGCAGCCAGTGCAGACAAAGCACTCCTTGTGCCAGGGCTCGTCACGGTAAGTCACTCCTCCCTTGGTCAGCGACTGGGGAAGGGAGAGCACCAGTTACACCCGTATCTCCCCGAGAGCTGCTGCAGGCAGCCCCAGGAGCCCAGAGGGCCTGGCGGTTATAAAGATCTCAGCCTCCGGAGCCCTTGCCATCGGGAGACTGACGGGCTGGACGCAAGGCTCGCATGCATCCCACGAGCGCACTGCAGTTATAACAGGAGACCCCTTCTCAAGCCAGCCAAGGGAACTCAGCTGGACCCTCGGCAACCCCGGAGCCGCCCAGAGCCACGGCGGGCCTGGCGCTAAGGGGAGCCCTCTGCTGCCTCCAGAGCAGGGTGTGAGGCCAACACATCAGGCAGCAGCCAGTCTCCAGACCAGGCACAGAGACATGCCTCAGCTTGGAGATCTCGACAGCACGCAGCAAAGCCTTTTGGAGAGGCCTGGAGAGCAGCATCCCCCGTGATGCGAGCAGGCCACACCCACCCCTTCCTTATTACTGGGTGGGTACTGGCCGCGCGCTGGGTGCCATCCTGCTGGTCCAGATCCAGGGGAACACTGACACGACCCTTAGGAAGCTGGGTTACACCCCCGGGATCATGGAACAGCACCCCACCTCCTATGCCTGGGACTGCTTTCCGCGGAGACCACTGGCTGCCCCAGGAGAATCTCATCTAACAGAAGCCCAGCCCCTGCGGGGTCACCGAAGGAAGCACTCGGCTGGCAGGCCAGCATTACCTTTTTGCAACGAGTGCAGCGGGGGGCAAACTTGCTCTCATAACAGGGGACGCAATAATAATCCTTCTTGTCCGGGATAAAGGACCGCGACCCAATGGGCTGCTGGCAGCTGCTGCAGATGAAGCAATGCTCATGCCAGGTTTGTCCGCTGTATTCCAGTTTCCGGGACCCTGGAAGTGAAGCAGAGCTGGGCTCAGGGCACCGCTGGGAGGCAGCAGCTGCACCTTCAGACAGGCTCAGCAAGTGACAAACCAACAATGCTCTACGGAGACGGAGCCCTGTGTCCTGAACTCGGCTTGAGCCTGGGAAGCGGGGCCTGGCGCTAGCATTTCGTACCCGTGGACAGATCGCAGGAAAGCTAGCGCCCGGAGGCCCCTTCCTTCCCCATGTCCTAGTACAGTCTTGCCACATGGGGCAGTTCTCCCTTCGTACCGAGAGTCACCAGTCGAGCCTCTCAGCACAGGAGAGCTCGAGACGCCAGAGGCCTGGGGGTAACACAGGCAGGCAATGCCCAAGGGGCCTGGCACAGCCCCAGCCCCCCCAAAGGCTGGGTCTCCATCAGCCTTTAGCCAGTGACTTCCTGGACCCCCAGAGACAGGGCAGAGGATGCTCCAGAGCCTCTGGAGCTGCCTCCCCACATTCTCCTCCTCCTCCTCCATGGCCCTTCCCCAACACAGAGGCCACAGACAAGGGCTGCAGGGGAGACCACAGTTCTGGGTCCCCGATAAGGGCCTCCTGTCTGCTCAGCCGAGGGGAGCTGGCACCAGGCCTGTCTGTACAGGTACGGCATGTCCCTGGGCCCTTGCCCGGCACCCCCAGGGCACTGCCCTCGGCTGGGATGACAGGAGGACAGCTGCTGGCCCAGCAGAGCCTGCCAAGGCCCAGGGGAGGCTCCGTCTCCTGCCAACAACCCCCGCCCCAGAGCCTGTACCTGGCATGACGGTCTTCTCACATGCGACACACTTGGAGGAGAACTCGCTGCAGTAGCAGTCGTTGCACAGCAGCTCCTCATCCTGGCAGGTGAAAGGTTCGTCGGCCAGAGAGCGGTCGCAGCGGAAGCACCGGAAACAGTGCTCGTGGTAATGGCGATCCTCGTAGTACAGCTCCTGGGAGAGAGAGCGGGGGTGTCACTCGCCCACGGCAGGTGGGGGGCAGACCCCACTTGGGTGCAGCCCCCAGCCCCTCACTCGCTCACGGGGGGGGGTATGGGGCAGGCCCCACTTGGGTGCAGCCCCCAGCCCCTCACTCACCCTGCAGTCGTGGCCAATCAGCTCCTTGCACTCCTCGCAGGTGTTAGCGAAATGGGCATCGTAGCAGGGGATGCAGTAGGGACCCATGTCCATCTGGATGTACTTCCGTCCATACAGGGACTCCTTGCAGTTATCGCAGTCGAAACCTTCCGTCATGGTGCCAACTCGAGAGCCTCCCACACCTGTCCGGGGAAACCCCATAGGTTAGGATCTGCTCAGAACCGCAGCGGTGCAAAGGGCTGAGCCTCCCTGTAACTCCCCCGCCACCTCCAGAGGCGAGGGGCAGACACGGGCCACATGCCCAGGCTGCTACCTGTGTCAGGCAGCCTTGCACAGAACGAAGCCTGGCCGTACACAGCCAGCATGGGGCACGAACACAGCTCCTGCTCATGGACAACACGATCTGTGTTTCCAGAAATGGTCCGGTATGGTGTCGAGCGCACCTTCTGCTTGCACGTAAAGCAGAGCCAGCCATCAGAACATGCATACACCAGTCACCAGGCCCCGCATGGAGAGAGCCTGACAGGGAACGAGTGACTGAGCCGGTCGCTGGATGATGCAGGGTCGCGGGCTCCTGGCTGCAATCCTCAGTACACCATGTAACACCCGAGAAGATTAACAAAAAACGGAAACGATTTTGTGTGTAAAAACGTTTTTGGACTGAAGTGCGTGACCAGTTGGGTGGATGCGTGCATGAGCCCAACAGAGGGAGAAACAGGCATCCCTCTCACAGACCCAAACACAGCGATTGGCCTCCCGCCCAAAGCCTAGGATGGGGCTGGTTCCTGCACCACATCTTCGAGTGCTTTGCCTGAGCTAGTTTCTAACATCCCAAGCTTTGAAGCTTCCAAATGCTCTAAAGCAGACGAACAGGGGAGCATCGAGCATGAGTCAGGTGCCCAGTCATTTGGCCAGTACAAAGACATTTCTAATCAAAGCCACATCCCCAGGATCCTCCCTGGGAGCGTATTTCCAAAGTACAAGCCTTTTGCTGCATGTGCATGTTTTCACAAGTGAAAGCACGAAACACATTCTCTGGCTTTGCTTCAGGAGAAGCTGGTTTACGAAAACTGTTACTGGCCCTATTTCTCTCCAAGGTATAGGGTTTGTCTACACCTGGAGTTATTCCAGAATAGCTACAAACTTACACCCAGCCTTAATCCGAATTAATTTTCAAGTGTAGACAAGCCTCATATGGTGTTTATACCAGAGACATTTAGCTGCAGAGAGCCAGGCTTTGCAATCCTCTTTACGAACCCAGGGGATCAGAAGAGTTATTACAGGCATTGAGGGATAAATCCCAGAACAGGACAGGGGAACAGTCGCAAGTTCCTCTGCATCTCTCGGTGTTGTCTGCCTAAGCTGTGGGCAGTTGCCTTCCTGATGCTGGGCTGAAGCCCTGCAGGGGTGGGGAAGGTCTGCTCTGGCTTGCACAGCATGAGTCATCAGGGCTATTCATGGGCCTGGGATTAGGCTTCCCAGCTGTTGCCCTGCATGCAGAGAGAGCGCTGCTGCCTGCCTAGCTACGTGACAGACAGATGGGAACAAAGTCCCTTCTCAGACCCGCTCATTAACCAGCTACATCCCCGCCAGCTCCTGCCTGTTCTTCTGACCCCCTTCCTACCACAGCAGCAGCGGGGTCTCCCGCACATGGCTGAGGGGTGTGGGGAGATTTACACACGGAGCCCTCGCTGAATGCCAGCCTTGCCAGCTTGGGCTGAGTGGCAGCCAGCAGCAGAGCTACTAAGGGACCTGCTCTGCCCATCGCCCGTCCACACCCCACACACCCCGCCCCCCTGCAGCTGCATCCTGGGGCAAGTGAGTTTATGGCAGCAGGAATGACTAGCTCCAAGACACCAGCTGTGCAACTCCCCATTAGTCTCCAATACCTGCTAAAAATACCCGGGCGGCCAGGCCAGGCCCTCAGGTTCACAGTGAGCATCATCAGTGTGTGTCTGGGAGAATGAAACATTTCCTGAGCTGCTCTGATGGGGGCCACCTGGGGAGAACGGCCCCTGCCCCCAAAGGTTTGCTCCACGTGAGGACTCTGAGCCAGGAAGGTTCATGTTTAGAAGTGCTGCAGCCCAGGGACTGCAGAAGATGAAGGAAGCAGCCTGGGCCCCCGGCCTTTGGAGATGGCCCTGCCACTTGTTTCCCAACATACAACGCGAGTCACGCCTGCGTGCTGGGCAACACGTCCAGCCCCCCTCGAGGCGCACAGCTCGGACTCATGCTGCCTTGCTGGACTTTGCTTCCCAGGGTGATTTCATCCCTTCACCTGAGAGAAGGGTCTGTTGCTCCCCCCCGTACACCTCAGAGAGAGGGACTCAAAGGGGTGACAACAGGTAACCCCCCCCCATACAATACTGTAAAGTCCTCAGAGATGACAGGAGAAAACCAGACTGGTAGGATCTCAGCTCCAGGACAATGTGTTTCTGTGTTGAAGCGTGATTTGCCAAATCAAACTCCGTCTCTCCGCTGCAGCTGAGCCAACATTGTGATCAAAACCAAGAACAGGTCTCAAAAAAAAAAAATAGTTCCAGGACAGGGACATTTCAGTCTCAAATACTGTCTCTCATTTGGCAGCCTCTCAACTCAGGCTGTTTCCTGCCCAATCCCCTTCTCCCTGAACCACACTGGAGATGGTTGCCAGCGGAGAATGCCACTAAGGGCCTGCCTGCATTATCGATTTTGCACAGGAATAGGTACACCAGTGCAAACCCCTGGGTAAAGGCACTGCACTGGTATAAGGGAGGGCTCAGACAGTGCCACTTGACCCAGTTCAGACCACAGTGCATCTCCACTGGGGGCTGGCATGCACCAGCAAAGCTACACCAGTGCAAAAATCCTTAATGTAGACAAAGCCCCCAGGTGGGACCCGACACCACATTCTTTGCAGGCGCATAGGAAGAGTGCTGGGAAGAGGGAGAGATACAAACTGCACAAGCCCTTTGAAAATGGTACTTGAACAACTAGCTCAAAGTACTGTCCCGATCTGTAATATACACGTAACCCACTGGCAGAGTGTGTCACATCCACCTCCAGCAGCTAGTTTACTAGAGGATAACAGCCTACTACCGGTACCTGTGCTGCAATATTGAAGGCCCCGGGTGCAGATCTTGCTGACTCCCTATGAGGGAGGTTGTTAAAAGCATCCCTCTGAACTGCATCCAGTGGCAAGACCCTCGTCCCCATCCATGTCATTGCTGGCTAGCCAATTGCTGTTGCATTTCCTAAACCACTTTCCCCCTCCCCTTGGCGGTTACTGCTTCCCAGAATCCGTCCGTCCACCTATGTCTGCCGCACAGCTGTCTTGCAAGGCAGAGTGTGCTGCTAAAAGGGTGTCAGCTTGGAGCTAAACTCGCTTATTCTCCAGGTTGAACAGACCACAGAGTGCATGGCAGCAGGACAGCGAGCCCAGGGCTGTCTGCAGGCACAGACCACTGCCTGGCTGTGTAGGGACACATGCTGCCCGTTCCAGGGAGGGGAGAGCAGCAGATAATGAGCCTGGGAAGTTTGCTCAGGGGTGTGTGTGTGTTAGATAAGCTGTTTTCTCCCTTTGTTCTGGGTCTCACACACAGAGTAGGACAGAGGTGTTAAACACATGAGGATGCCAAAGCAAACACTGGGGCTGCACTAGCCAGGAGAGCCCAAGAGCATGGAGAACAGAAGGATGAAACAAAGAAAAAGGAGCAGGAAGCAGCTCAGCATAAAAAACATAAGATAAAAAAATTTAAAATCATCACTGATCAAGTTTGCAAATGACAAAAAAATTGGGGGAGTGGTAAATAACGAAGAGGGCAGGTCACTGATCCAGAGTGAGCTGGATCGCTTGGTGAGCAGGGCACAAACACTGCTTTAATTTGGCTAAATGTAAATGTGTATGTCTATGAACAGAGAACGTCGGCCATCCTTACACTATGCGGGACTCTGTCCTGGGAGCAGGGACTCCGGAAAAGATCCGGGGTGGGGGTGGATAGGCAGCTGCACAAACTCCCAGTGTGACGCTGTGGCCTAAAGGGCTAATGTGAACCTGGGATGCATAAAGAGGGGAGTCTCAGGTCGGAGCAGACCGTTATTTGGCACTGGTGCGATGGCTGCTGGAATCCTGTGTCAGTTCTGGTGTCCACAATTCATGAAGGATGTTGATAAACTGGAAAGGATTCAGGATTAGAAAACCTGCCTTATAGTGATAGACGCAAGGCGCTCAATCCATTTAGCTTAAGAGAAGGGCAAGGGATGACTTGATCCCAGTCTCTAAGTATCTACACGGGGAACAAATTTTTGATAACGGGCTATTCAGTCTAGCAGCAGCAGGTCTACCACCATCCAATGCTGGGAGTTGAAGCTAGACAACTTCAGACTGGAAGTCAGGGTACATTTTAAAGTGAGGATAATTAACCACTGGAACAATTTGCCAAGGGTCACGGTGGATTCTCCGTCACTAACAATTTTAAAATCAAGACTGGATACTTTTCTAAAAGCTCTGCTCTGGGAATGATTTAGGGAAGTTCTCAGGCCTGTGCTATGCAGGTCAGACGAGATTGTCCCTTCTGGCCTTGGACTCTACGAATACGTGAGCACAGGCAAGAAACACTCACTGCAATGGGGGGAGGAACTCAGCGCTTTCCAGGCTAGGAGAAAAGATGGATTTGTAAAAACATTTTTAAAGGGGTTGGTCTAGAGTAGGATTTAGAAGTGTGCTGTAGGCGTGTGCTAAGTAACAGGTTCTGAAAGCCAAGTGTAGCCAGGACAGACTTTAAACATGCGCTCAGCTGGTTAAGGGGAGAGCCTAGTCAAGACAAAGCCACCGAATGTAGCAGAGAACAAGAGCTATGCTCTACGGAGCCAGGGGCTGGGTTAACCCTTCTGTAGGGAGCCCACCTGCATGCATGTTGCAGAGTTGCCGTGTAGAGTCATTTTCATTGCTTTCAGCCCTATTACATTCCAGAAGGAGAGACTCCCTCTGCCTTCATTAACAGGTTACCAGTGCTGCTCAGATTCAGGGGCAATGTGGTGACAGGATGTGGTCAGTGATAAGTTACCCTCCCCACCCCATCCCATCCCTGCTGCCTGTCATGTATGCACAGCACCTCCACCTCAGACGACTCCAGCCCGCTCCACCCGAGCAACACCAGCTAGTGCCAAGATGGTGGTTATAAATGCATCTGTTGCTATGCTA